TGACACTATGAATATCTAGTCTGAATAAATACTTAGAAACCTACCGCAGTCATACGAATGAGCCAATCTAATTATAGATTTTTCCGTCCCTCAACTTCTTCTAATTTTTGGTCAAAGTGCTCATAAACCCGCTAAACCGCGTCGTAATGGTGATTTAATAGTAATTCATCCCTCAAATACTTTAAAATACACAAAAATTATAGATAATATTACAATTTACTATCGTTAGGACTAAAATGTGTTAGGACTAAAACAAGTACTATACTATTTAGTTCTTTCGTAATTTAATGTGATATCTTTTTCGTAACTTATTTAGTTCTTCATTTCTGTTATTAGAAGTGACCGTTTCGGAACTGTTTCTAATGAGCACACTTCTAACTGTTTCTAATGAGTGGAGTGTTGATGGCTATTAATAGCTTTTTTTCGTCTAGTGTTGTTAATTTTCCAGACTGTGACAATTTAGAAGTAATCGCAGTTTCAATTAAATTGACTTTTAAACATTTCTAGGGAGGGTTGTTATATTCAAACTAACTCTATTTCTGACATGTATGTTAAAATTTATTCATTGGTGCAATCAAGATTTTTCAACATATGTAATTATCTTAACTTGGATTACGAAGTGTTCATTTTTGGAAATTTTAATCTTCCTAAAAAACATGGATGCCACAGATGAGGAACCATTTATGTTTCCAAATTGTTGTGATGATGAATTGAAACTATCTCTCATAGATAGACAGCAGATCTCGTCAATTTTAAATCGCCAGTTTAGGCAACTGGATTTAGTTTTTACTTCTGGCATACCTGTCGTTATGCCAAATCAGTTAGTTAATATTGAATCCTTTCATTACCCAATTAATTTCTTTTTCTTATACTATTGACGGTCAGTCATCTAAAGACGAGACCCTTCCTTATCGCTATGATTTTAAAAAGGGAAATTAAGCCTTTTGAATGATTTTTTTTCTTGTAACTTTTTACTGACCGTATACAAGTCACATAACCTATCTATTGTGTATACAATAAAATCTGATCTTTCCTATCTATTGTATACACAATAGATAGGTTATGTGATGGCAACAAATTTTGCATATCGAATTTTCGGTGGGAATACCCTTCTCCATGGTAGGGAAGTGTAAATAAACTATTTTTAGCAACCTGTCGGTCCGTGTGTGCACGCGTGTATCTCAAGTTCGGCTGAACCGATTTTGATGAAGTTTTATATGTAAGTTTATTTCGACTGTGGCACGGATTGATCAACTTTTTGGATATATCAGGCCTCAGTAACTGGACTTAAGGGGGCCTGTTTTACGTTTGTGATCATTTTGAAGAAAATATTCAAAAGATTTACTTGAAATTTTATATATAAGTTTCATTTTACCGAACGCGGAAACTTCTGACTTTTGGAAGAAATCAGGTGTCAGCAAGTGAACGTTTACTACGGGCCAAATACACATTTTTGCGTATATATAACGAAAAATAATCAACCGATCTCATTAAAATTTAATATTTAAATTCGAGGTGTTAAAACAATAAACCTATAAATTTTTGGAAAGATCAGATTTTATTTATTTCAAACAGTTAATTTTAATTAAATCGGGTTTTAAAATAGTTGTAAAAATTAAAATTTAATATAAAAAAACTTTCAATGACAGATGGCTGTGATCCTAATTTTCTTCCGGAGATTATTTAAGATTTTTACACTTTTTATTAAAAACATTAAATTTTACATTACACATGTTCCAGTTTTGTCCAGCAATATTTAAAAATGAGGTCGTTTGTAAATTATCTAATTACTTTCAGTTCTCTAGAGCGAATGCAAAAAATTTTAGAATATAAGAAACTAAGTTTTCTATTACTCAAATATATTAGAATTGAGCTCTTTTTGGCAAATTTAAGGACAAGAGGCAAAAGTGGTACATGTGTGCACTCAACGTTTTAAAAAACAAGTGTGCACTCAAAAGGTTAAACCTTTAAATCGTAAGCTATATATAACTGAACTAGAAAAAGTAGTAACATTAACAAGTCAATGGTACATTTGTTGCTGCTTCTAATACTATAATTAAAATTGCAGATCAATGGTATGGATAATGTCAGTGATTATACGAGAGATTTTAAAAGTTTGTTCTAAAAATTATTTCACTTAAAAATAGTTTTTGAAGTATTCAATTTAAAGTTAAGTAAATTTGGTATTTGAAATGGAAAAATGTCAATAACTTTAAAAATATTTACAAAAACACTCCTACTCTGAATAAAAGTCACTTAACAAAAATAAATATTTGTTCGTTTATCGATTTTTAGGTAGAGGTGTTTTGCTCTGTAAATATGTATGTTATTTAGTTTTTATATTTTATAAAATCAAAGTGCCAAACTGATTCTGATGCACATTTTTAACAATTTTTGCTACGGTCGATAATATTATTGTAATGGAAAAATATTGAAAAATGTGATATATAGAGAAATAGCTATGTTAAGAGACACATTTGCTGAAATATTTGCAAATCAAATTCTCATGAATTCAATTAAGTTTTCATTATAAAAAAGATAATGATCATTTAATAAGGGCCGTTGTATTTAGGTTCCATTAAAGTAATTTGGTTTTTCTTAAAGCTGATTCGAATGAACTCCATATAAACATGTGTGTTATATAAAGACAAAGAAAGTATTTAACCCTAATTTATTTAGTTTTGCAACAGATATGAATCGATAATTTTTTTGGTGCGTGTGTATGTACAAAAAGAAAATAAATAAAATTTGGTCAAACCAATGGTTTGTAATGTAGCACTTTTCCCTTCAACAAGTGAAAATACTGTTTTTAAAAACAATCCAGCTATGTACTACATTTTTCAAATTACTTTAATTTATAAATGTACAATAATATTTCAAAGATTGATTACGTTTAGGATGGGAACTGTATGAAATCCCATCCTAAACATCCAATATTTTGTAAATAAAACAAAAAAAATTTAAAGATTCGTAACATAATATTCGAATTTAAGGGCTATTTGTGAGTTAAGAAACATAGATATGTTTTGATGGCTTGGCACTTACCGTTAGCTTCCTGCATTTATAGAAATTTGAAAAAATTTGCGGAAATATAAGGACCGAAAACTCAAAAAATTTTATTCTGCCAAAATAAACAATATATTAGTTTCTAAAACCTGCTTTCAGAGTACGGTAAATTTTGGTATTGATTTCAGTGTAACTGAGCTTTGTAAATGCTTCAAAACACAAATACAGTGTTGTTACTCAACTGGGTCATATAACCGTTAAAATTTAAAAATAATTCGACACCCAGCATAGTCGTAAATCAAAACTTAACCTTTGTTTTAATTACAAGCTATATACAAGTGTCCTTGACTTCGGGGTACAGAAAAAAAAAACCGAAAATTTCATTAGAATATTTAGTTTTTTTATTATGAAAAATATTAATTATATTAATTGTAAAAACATTTTCATTTGAAAACTTAATTATCTAAAAAAAAAATTTGGAAATTTCAATTAAGTATGAAAACAATGCAATAAAATTATTATGGAATCAGCTTACACCTAAAGACTTTTTATTTTTATTCTCGGTTTTTGTGGCTTTTTGATTTTATTGACCTTTTAACCAAAAAAAATTTTTTATCTAAATTGACTTATTTAAATTAATTCCTTTATAATAGGAAGATATTGAATTAATCGTCTTTTCATTCCGTTTATTTCGATATTTTTTCATAAATATGGTGCAAAAAACGAAATATTTTTTGTAAAAAACGAAGATCCTCTTCCAATATAAAGCGCTTTACATTAAATTTTTATTTAAGTTTGAACCACAAGATTCTTATCATTAGAAACAAAAGTATCTCATTTTGATTAGAAGGGAAGGGGAAAAAATATATTTTTGGTTTTTGAAATTAATTTCAAATTATTATTATTAATCCTTGCTTTTTGCAATGCTTGTACATTTTTAAAGCATGCTGTATTATATCCTTCTTATATAACATGCTTTACGAATGTCAGTTGTTTTTATTGTTATAATATCTTGTTATTCTTCTAAATACTTAGTAATAATTCCTAAAAAGCAAGAGATAACTTAAAGAGTGGAATGGAACTCACATAGAGTTTAAGTAGGAAATTTGAAAAAGGAAACTAATAATTTTTTTTTTAATTTTCTGTGGTTGCAAATGCATCAAATTTGTTTATAAATGCCAGTGATCTTAAGTTTAGTTTTCATTTTTACCGACTGCATTGAATACATATAATAAGGGTGGTTATGTGATAGCACCAAATTTTGGATGTCGAGATTTCGGTGGGAACTATTTTTTAGAGAGATGTCGGCTTGTGTTTGCTCTTGTGTATCTAAAGTTCGGTTAAACCAATTTCGATGAAATTTTTTATGTGAGTTTAGCTTTTGGGATATATCAGACCTCGGGAACTGGGCAGTTTTGATGGTCGATTTTACATTTTTGCATATAACAACAGAAATTGTCTACCAATTTCCTTGAAATTTAAAATTTAAAATCGTGCTGTTAAAACAACGAATCTGTAAATTTTTTATGAAAGATCAGAGCTCGGAAATCGAACTAGAGATTAAGTGAATTTCTTGAAATTTAATTGAGTTCTGGGCGTTACCGAAACTAACTGGTGAAGTTTTGGACGTCACAAAGCGAAATTCTACTAAGAGCCAACTTTACACTTTTCTAGGTATGTTAGTTAAAAGCTTATTAATTTCCTTAAAATTGAAGGAAATGTTCAAATAGCATTTTAATAATGTTCTGTAACACTTTCACTAGTCAATACACGTTTTGATCGGTTATGTGCTGATCACATCATATTTTTTTTTGTTTTACTTTTACGAAAATGTAATATGTATAGCTACATCTTTCCGATGTATGTACGTATGTATGTGTTTTCAAAAAATTTTTCAGATATTTGTATGTAACGAGATAACAATTAAATAAAATAAGAAACATGTATATATGAAAATTATGCATCACTAGTTTTACTGAAATTTTCTCTTTCAGATTTCAGTTCTAAATCTACTGTTCTAAGAAAGAAAAATCTGGTGTTTACAGCACATTGTGAAGGTATTGTATAAGATTATAAAAATTTCCTCCAAACATATATTTTAAAGAATCTATCTATGAAAATAGTCTCTCTAGGGAGCAATGTATCTCGAAAAAAGTAGCTCTTTTTGAGATTTGTAAAATGTTCGATTTGCCTCTTTCCGAATTTGAACTTTCAGATGTAGCAAATGTTTACTGTAGCAAGTTATATCTCAAACGTTATATAAGTGGTACTAATCATTTGTTTTCTGAATAACATCTGGGGAAACTTTTCGAGTCCGAATTTTTTACTTTCAGTATGGTCCGAATTTATATTTTTATATCTATATTTTTATCAATTAATCAAAAAAGTTTTTTGAAATTTAATAATTGAGTTCTGTTTGTCCGCGAAACTAACAAAAATCATTTCAGTGGATAACTAAAACAAAAACTCCACGAAACACAAAATTTACGTTTTTCTAGGTATATTAACAAAAACGTTACAAACTTCGATAGTATTTTAAATAAGCGTTTAAAGAATTTTTTCATAATCTTGTTCAACACTTATGTCAAAAACTCCTTTGCGAATGCTGGTGCTTTCCACATCAGATTTATTTATTGATTTTCATTTTCATAGATTTTGTAATGCAAAAATTCTATTATTAAGAATAAAAATTTAACTTACATTAAGTCACATTGAATTTTATATTCCTACCTTTATTTTTGGCAAATGATATTAATTGCTTTCAATATATTCCAAATGTTTAATTCATCATTATTAAAATTTTGTCGAAAATACCTTTGTATTGTGCATTTTACTATACCCATAAATCAACCTTGAGTAAAAATGCAAGAGCTATAAATTCCAATTCTTAATTATATGTATTTACAGTGTCAATTGAGTATTGAATTTATAGATATTTTTGCTCATTCTCTTGTATAAATTTTGGTATTTTAAAAACAAATAAAAGTATTTTATAATATTTTGTGTTTTTTTTTAATAAAAAATGAAATCACTTTCAGGTCTAGAACACTTGCTTACATAAAATTTTGATTTTTTTATACATATTCTTAAATATAAAACTTATTTCCATTATCCTTTGTCATATTCTTAATATAAGTGCTATATTAAATAAGACTTTTTGGAGCCATTGTGTTTTATGTTTTTTCCATAAAATTATAGTTTTTATATCTTTTTGCAAGAAATGATATAATGTATAAATTTTTGGGAATATTTGTTGGTGTTACAATATTATGCGTAAAAGGCCTGGCCATTTAAGTGCAGTTTTCGGTTGAAAAAAAAAGCCAAATTAAAAAGCTAGGTATGAGAAATATTAATAACAGCTCCAAAACTATTTCAGTTTCGAATAAAAATTCGTAACTGTTTTTGTGAAGTCATGGATGTACAATATATATGATTTAAGTCAGAGTTACAGTTTTCAAGTAATAGCTGCTTAAACACGAATTTTGTAACAAAACGAGAAAAAATAGAGTTGACCTTGTCAACTTTGTGAAACCCGTACGAATTTGCCATCCTATTTCAAGCAATTTCAACGAATTTTATCAAAAACATTGGCCCTACTAATGTATTCACTTGTGAGAAATTTCAATATCACAGTTTTATAGTTTCTGAGATATATCTAAAAAACTTTGGAAGTTGTATGGCAGCTGCCAGAAGGAGCCAAACAATTTCAACGAATTTAATCAAACACATTGACCCTACTTATATATTGGCTTGGGTGATTTTTCAATACCACAGTTTTTATAGTTTTTGAGATACGAGTATAGCCAAATTCCTTTTGAAGTTGTATGGCAGCTACTAGAAGGAGCCAAGCAATTTCAACGACTTTTATCAAACACATTAGCCCTACTAATATATTCGTTTGGGTGAAATTTCAATATCACAGCTTTTATAGTTTCTGAGAAATAGCCAAAAAACTTTTGAAGTTGTATGGCAGCTACCAGAAGGAGCCGAGCAATTTCGACAATTTTTATTAAAGACATGGGCCCTATTAATATATTTGTTTGCGTCAAATTTCAATATCATACCTTTTATAGTTTCTAAAATATCGTTAAATAAATTTTGAAGTTACCCGAACCAGTACCCCCGATTATATCCAATTGAAATAGGGTTCTTGCATTTACTATAATAAATCATTTGTGAAAATTTGGTGAACTTAGCTCAATTAGTTTCTGAGTTATCGCTGCGACGGACGGACGGACTAACGGATGTTAGACGGACGGACGGACAAACAGACAGGCAAAGCTAAATCAACTCGGAATTCGACGCTGATCCAAAACATACAGTTGAGTCTATATCTCAGGCCATTATTTCTTAGCGTTACAAAGGGTAGAGCAAATTTAGTATACCCTTCGAACATACGTTCGTACTAGTATAAACAGCAAAAAAGAAAAGAAATAATATATAAATCGTTGATAAAATTAATATTAATAGTAAAAAATTATGCGAATTTTTTGATTCGATTTTCTTTAATCCTTGAAAACTACTCTAAGGCGTACGAGTCCCACACCACCCATGCGAGCAATTTTTTCCTAAAAAACCACGTGAGATATTTTACGCTCTTTCTGGATAACATTGTCTATATATAGGTTAGTCTTTTGTTTTTATGTTCATAAGCATTTATATGACTTAGAGTGAATTATAAATAGATGCACTGCACCAGAATGAAATATAATATTTTCTTCGTTACCCTTACCTCATTTTATTGTGTCATATTCAGTTAGAAAGGAGAAAATTTTTTGTAATATTAGATGTACAGTGACCATTGTATCTGACCATTGGTGCAGTGGTTATGGCACCGGTCCTTTAACCGAAGGGTCTCGGATTCAAACCCCGGTCAGGTCACTATAAAAATTATATTCAATATAATTATAACTTAATATACAATACTAATAAAAAATATTATACAAGTAATTTTCAAATATTCCTAATATTCGATATTAAAAAAAAAAAAAAAACTAAGAAAAATAAATAGTAAATATTAATAACCTCAAATAATTAATATATAAATAAAAACTACGGCAGACTAGTCACCTACCTAGTTTTAAAACCCTATGACGCTAAGAAACTAGTGCATGAGAAATCATGCACTAGCCCTATGCTCCTTCTAGGAGTGAACAAAGGAAAAAAAAAAAAAAGATGTACAGTGAAGTCGTTTATATTAATTTTAGAAGTGTAGTAAGAGGTTTATTATTTATAAAATCAAAATTTAGAAAAGTACATACTCTGAAATTTTGCAAAAAAACATGTTGTTTTTTGTGATATTATGAGAATTCTGATGTTAAATGGTAGAATAAAATGTCATCGTTGTTTCTCTTTAAGCAGTAACATTAAACTTCGCGCATTTTTCAACTATATTGTATTTCATTCAGCGCATATTCTAATATTTTTGATTTCTTTAAAGAGTATACAGCTACAAAGGATATTTAATCGATTTTTTTAAAAAGGCAGACAGAAAAAAGAAATGAAAAAATATGTGAAAGTTTTTAAATTAGTTTAGCAATCTATTTTGTTTTCTTTTTTCCTAACATAATTTTCTAGATTAATGAAATTAAAAAAAGAGAAATATTATTATATCGACGCCTTGTGTTTATTTTGCGTAATTTATTGGAAAAACAATATATGAATATTAATTATGTAAAATTATAAAAAGAAAATGGCTATATTTCCTCCTATCACATTATTGCAATGGTTTTTATACAAGAAATGTTTCCTTATTTTGGGAATAGATTTTGATTATTTCGAATATTAAACATTTTGATTAATTTCTTTGTAATTTGTGAATAACTATTGTAATGATAATAATAAATTATATTTATTATTAGTTTCAAATTTTATCGTTAACATTTTTTATATTTTTCAAATATATTTAATTGAAATTATATAATTTAAGTTAGTTAATATAAGAGTATTGGGAATAATAGAAATGAAAAAAAATATGAAAACAGAAAATTGGAACTAAAATTAATTAATTACAATCGAAACTATTAGAAATTAAGCCTAATATTGCGCGATTAGAGTTTTGGAAAAATTAGGAGAGTTATCAAAATTTGGGTAATCTAGGAGATACGAAGAAATATTTTGTTTAATCAAAATTAATAATAATTATATTTTGTTGAGCAAACTGTTAAAATATTAAACTTATACATCTTAGAAAAGAATCGAAGCCAAGAAAATGTCTACGGAAAAAACATGTCAACAAATGATTGGAGAATGATAAATTTCAAAAGTAGTTTTGTCATACTAATGTTTGCCCATTCTTACACTGAAGAATATCAAATACATTTTTTTCTGTAAAAGAAGTAGCTGAAGGTGAGTTTTTAAAATAAATTTTTATATATGAATATGAGAATGAATGTCAGGCAAAAATTGCTGAGATTTTTTTATTGTCATCTAAGTTACCCTTATGAACCTATGCCATGTATTTGTATGCGTCTCGTTATAGCTTTAGAAATTTTTAGAAATATATTTTCCTTTTATAGTTTAAGATGAAAAACGTGTAATTTTTGTAAGTATAATAAAATTAAAAGAAAAGAAACAAAAAGAAAATGAAAATCATCTTCTAAGACATCGGGTTATTTATTTTGTTTTGTTTTAAAATTTCTTATGTGTGAACTTCAAAATACTTTTAAATTTAACTAAAAAAAATAGATTTCATCCATAAATAGGAGAGGCTAGTTAAATATTCTATACACGAATAATGTATATTGTGATTTAAAAATTCCTAAAAACTCTTTACAATTTATTATTTACGAAAAACAGCCATGCCATGTAAGTTTTTAAAAAGGTGAATTATTAAGTTTACACATTGAGAAAGTTATTTTTTAAAAAGTGAATTAATGCAATTTAATTATACTGTGTAGAAATCGCAATTTATGTATCCTGTAATTAACTCATAATTTTGGTAATGTTGATATTCTAAAGAGAATAAAACAGGTTTTCTATACAGCTTACTCATGATTAAGATCCAAACTTAAAGTCGAAAGTGAATTTGAAATTTTTCATTCTAGATGATAGGTTA